CACACTCTATGTTTATCACACAATATTTTGACCACACCTGAGTGCTGTAGACTGGTCCACTATACACTACGCCAATCGGGTCGTGAAGTATGGTATATAGAATATTCATGTTGATTTCAAACACTGAATCAAAGACAATATTCTTATCGCGGATGTTTTTGCATATGATAAAGCGGCAACCAAGCGGACCTGATAAGGGATCTTCGTCCCATCGACATCTGCAATGCCTGTACAGAAGCGTTGCCTACCTTTAAAAACAACTTTTAAAAGAGAGGGTCTTGATACCTCATACGCCAGATGAAATGCCATAGCAGAATACTTCCATTCTTGTCGGTTTTCATTGTGACAGACAGAATTTCTCGAGACAGCCTGCCCATTCGTAGAACAGAAGAAAGTGCTTCGTGACTCTACCACTGTACGAACATAGAGTACTGTAGGAGTTTGGAACAAGGTAACAAATAAGACTTTGGAGCAAGTAACTAACAAGAACCCTTTAACGGTGGTAGAGCCACGCAGCAGCCTCGGCTGTTGCACGAATGGGCAGGCTCGTCGGGATAAGTACCACGACCTCACAGAAGACCAGCGTAAAGTGGAAGTATGACAAATACTTTCGCGTTTCGTCTGGTGAGTGAGGTAGCCGGAGCCCAATTTCCAAAAAAGATTGTCAACGCATCTGCAAACCCTCGGGTATAGCAGATGTCTATGGGCGGCGGTATTCACTTAACATCAGTTGAACCGTCTGGTCGTTTGGCAACTTTTCACATAAAAAAGTCACTGCTGCAAATATCTGTTATAAAGTTAGATTGGTAGGAAATCAAAATAAAATTGAATTTTGCGATATAAAAAGCAAAAGAACATTTCATGTCGTTTCATTCGGCCCTAATTGCGAGGCGGACTTTTATCGTGGTTTAAAGCAACAATTGAAGAATATAAACATTTTTATCGTTCGTTACACCATTGAAAGCTGTCGTCTCTCTCCGCGGTACTGTAGGGTATTGTCGAGGAAGAAAGAAATAGACGTGCCAGAAGTTACAGTGACAGGGTTGCCAACTAATACAAAATTAAATACCAAACTTGAACTGAAAAAACTTGTATACAGCGTGTCGTTACCATCGCGACAATAAATGAACACACGTCTAACGCTATTTGCCAATAATCATAAAAAAAATATTAACATTAAACAAAATCCATAATTAAAAAAAAAATATTTTTCAAAGACACTAATTAAGTAAAAAACACACAAAATTTGTAACATCCTATACAACTCTCGCCACAGCGTGGCATTGCAAGCCTCTCCTTCTAACAGTATGTTTTGTCTCTTTTAAATTCATTCAACCCATTCATATGCTTTGTGACCTTTACAAATGAACTTTACGTTACGCTTTTATAGGTAAGGGTGTTCTAAAATTCTTTGTTTTGGAAAATTTAATAACTCTGTTAATATTGATGTTTAAAGAATTTAAATGTTTAATACAACTTTAAAAAATTATCCCCTAAATGAGGAGGCGTTTACCCAGCAGTGGGACATACATAGGCAGTTACGTTTCTTTAATTTTTATTGTTACTTGTAACAAATAAAAGCTTGCAAAATAGTTCCTCCAGCATCAACACACATGGTCAACCAGGTAAGTACAACGAATTAATAAACATCAAAGCGTGAAAGTATTTATAATTTTGCTTTCATTCCGGTGAATTTGATAACTGGATGTACACTTTCAGTAGTTACTTTTGTAGACACTTGTGTAGGCTAAACATTTGTCGAAGAAATATGTACTAAAATTTCATTTTCATTTTCAACGCCTATTTAATAAATTAAGAAGTGGTAAGAAATACCAAAATAAAATCAAAAATTTATAGAAAATTATATAAAGTAAAAAAATAGTAAAAAATTCTTTGAGCTGGAAACACCGGTGAAATATATTTTGTTAAAACTTTATGTTAGTGTTCAGTTGTGAACCCTAATGGAATATACTTTGTTGCTCCTAATATAATACAGGTTACCTCGCGGCGGATTAAGATCTTAAAGGCTAAGTGGAACCTTTATTATCTCGACTTCAGGCCTTATTTATTATAAATAGGTATGTGTTATTTATTATAAGAAAATGCCAAAGCTAAATACACATGAAAATTTTATCTATAATCCTAGTTTTGCCTACAGACGAATGTCATAAAGTCAAAATCAATTTCTATTTATGGTGAAACATCCTCCCCGGCTCCACCAGTGGGAAAATCGGTGTAGGGTTCGCTCCGGCTGACTCAATCGGACCGATCGAGACCACAGGGTGAGGCTCGGTGACCCAGTCACGGGGACGGACAGAATTCATTTTAAATAGGCGCCAGCCCGCCCCGTGCAAGACAGAATAATGCTTATTCTAAGGGATTTACTTAGTGGAAATAAAAGATACATTCCTTAACAGTTTTAGAGTTTATTGATACAAGGTTTGAATATAAAACTAAACTATATCAAGTTAAAAATATAGAAGGAGTGAGATCTCACCAATCAGGCATAATAATAGTTACATTAAGAGTTAAGTATACATTAAATTAATCACTGTCACAAAGCAGTATATAAATATAATCATGAGTTTAATGGCTAGTTAGATTAGAGCAAACACATACCAGAAGGAAACATAACCAGGCTTGCCTTCCCACTTTCCAAATAAGGGTGAAGACCTCAGCTCAGTAATGCTCACATGCCACCAAGGGGCATTCAGCTAGTCCGCGGCTTCAAGCTGCACGTGGACAGCAGGACCTCAGATTCTTAATATATATGCAGTTGCATATAAGGCGAACACGCGGTTCGATATCAAGCCATCAGAGAGAAGCAGATCAGAGTGATACGAGGTAGCATTAAAGAAGAAAGAGAAACCAATAAAAAAAAAACCCTGTAACAAAATACCAATTGTTAACAAACGAATGATGGACCGAAAACAGTCAGATCCCAAAAATATATGCACAAAGGAAACTTACCAACGATGTGGGTTTTTTATATAAAAAATATAAAGGCCAAGAAGCCATATACAAGTAGGATGTAAAAGGATGTGGCCTAGGATGCCACATACTCCTTTCCTACATTCTCGAACTATGCAGAGGCGCTGCCGCCAGGCGGCGGCCGCCTCAGACCTCCAATAAGAAATGATCAAGACAAAGCTGACTGCCATTCTCGCAGGAACGACAGATGATACAAACAACAGACTATGCTAAACAAGACAATGTTTCTAATCGAAAATTATGTAAAAACAAATTTGCTTGATATCAGTTCAACATAATTAAAATGATAGTATTTTATATTTATATTTTATTGTCTTATATATTATATATAAGACAATAAAATCACTAGTACCGAAATAATCTAAGGAAATAAACAAAGACAAAACAACAAGGTGACCTAACGCCATCTATGATAAATGAAATATAGATTTTCTAAGGATCCCATTCAACTAAATTATATTGTTCACGATAGATATCGCTATACGATCCACTATGGATTGCCAATATAAGGCACTCGAATCTTGAAAAAAAAAGTGTTACAATGGATAGCCAATTATTTTTTGTTAATTCAACACCGTTTGTTTTTTTATTTCATCTAGATCGTCGGCCTTATTAATGATTTGTTATTAAAAAGTCCGTATTCTATCAGAATTCAAAATCAGGTTATAATATATTAATATCAAATATATTAACCAAATGTACAACAATCTGAGACAATCTAATTTTTAAGGAAGGGAACGTGTTATTGTCAAAATACTACTTGTAGGCTTAATCACGTTTGCCGATATATACAATCCTTACTAATATTATAAAAGCGAAAGTTTGTATCTATGGATGGATGTTTGTTACTCTTTCACGCAAATACTAGGTACTCAATGGATTTTAATGAAACTTTATAATAATATAGCTTATACATCAAAATAACACATAGACTATAATTTATATACATATTGTTATGTATATCTTCCTGTCAATGTTAGGCGTCACTGTGAATGTTACGCCTCCAGCCTGTAATTAAAGACTGTGATAATCCGTTTTCAAATTATATTTGAAAATAAGATGAAAATTTGAAACAAATAAATATGTGATAACTGTAGTGTAGCGAATAACAAAAAATATTTTCTTTCTTAATGATGACTCTAATTCTTTTGATCCTTTTATATTTTACTAGCTGCTGCCCGCGACTACGTCTGCGTAGGCTGAAGTCGTAACATTCGGACAGAAAGACAGATACATACGTAAAATATGTATATAAATTATAGCCTATGTCTTATTCTGATGTATAAGCTATATTGTTGTAAAGTTTCATTAAAATTAATTCAGTAATATTTGCGTGAAACATACATACAAACTTTCGATTTTATAATATTAGTAAGGATAGTAAAGATTGTCTGTTTGTATGATGATCCTCTGAGAAATACCTCAAATATATAATAAATTAACGTCATTTCGTTGAACAATATCCATCTGTCAAGTCTTTCTCTGATGAAATTGCTGACCAGGTTTTTCTCTCTTAGGCATTTCCATGATAAGAACCAAAAACTAATTGAACGTTAATGTTTTATATGTCTAAAACGTCTCACGACACACGTGTCTCAAATTATGGATAAACCGATAACGCAGGAAGTTACTGCCGAGGTTGCTCTGGTCAAAATAGGCTAGAAACACTTCGTTGTCAAACTGCAACACTAAAAGCTACGCAACTTTCTCCACGCTAGATGTCGCTTCGACGACCACGCAGTAACCCCGACTCGTAAGTCCCAAACTTTGATAAGTTTGACTGATGTCAAAGTTTCAGCAATCAACGGGACGTCCCCGATATCATTCAGCGCTGACTCCAATTACGATCATCGTGCCCGAAACGCGCGGTTCGCACCCTTCGCCGTTCTGCAAAAACTAACGTCGCCTTTGCCTCTGCGGCAATCGTCCGCCCGCTCGAATTTCGGCCCTGCTACGAGGCAACAGGGTCGAATTCGCATCGCCCCCAGAATCGGGGATGCTGCGTCTCAGTATGTATTATAAATTGGTTTAGAGCGGCGCGGGGGAGTAGTCCGTCTCTCGCTCGATACCGGCCAGTAGCGATTCTGACCCCCGAGCGTTCGCCGGCCTAGTGACGTCCCGCGAATAAACATAAGCACCTCCTTGGCCCACCTATCGATGTTTAGTGCTGTACCCGAGTGTCCAACTCCTGTGCTGTTGTGCGGTGGCCCGTATTGGACCCGTTGTGTTGTTGGATTTTTTGCGGCGCCGCGTCTGGAGCTGGCCTTCATCAACGGGGTAAGCCCCGATTTTTTCGTATCTTCGACTGAAGAGCGCGTTTTCGGTGTAATCTGCGTATCAAGGAATAAGGGGGATTGAGTGGAAATTCAGATGTTTTATGATGGCTGCAATGTTGAAGGAAAGTTTAGACGTGCTACGATTTTACTTTATTTACGATACTTATTGAAATAGTACCTTTACGTTTTTTCTTTTGCCCATGAAGTTAGAAAATACTGAAGAAAAAAGATACTAGTCCATTACAATGTAGAAGACACCCGGGATGAAACCAGTGTATGCTTTCGTTTTTATAAAATATTTCCGGTTCATTTATAGTTATTTTTTTATATCTGCGTCGTGTTTTTTTTTGCTGCGGCTATTGCTTATGTGGCCCGAAGCATACTCGTATCGTCGTTATTTCATTTTTGAAACTGCGTTTGGGCGTTCCTCGCTAAATTATATGATTGACTTAAAGGTTGTGTAGGGCATAATATTTATACTTTGTAAAATGTCATGGGTACTGATTATTTTATAATTAAAATAATTTTTGAGCTTTAAAAGACTTATAATGGACTTAACTGCGTTATGTTGATGTTTTTTACTGCCCAATTTTGTTCATTGGGAAGGCTTTTACCTGTAGCAGATAGTTTGTTAAAGATTTATTCCGATCACTATTTAATATTTGCCTAAAGGAAATCTCTCTGAGAAGTCTTTTCTAAAATTGTTGCAATAAACAAAGAATATCTAAGAATAACTACAAAAGGTAGTATTTTATATGAAATAATACCAATTGCAAATCGCACCACGAAATCTCCCGGACAATTGATATCTGATTGTCAGAATAGTGGACAATCAGCAAATTGAAATGTTCATAAATATGCATTAAAACGGGACGTATCGTCAACTTTAAGGTTGGTGAATTCTCTACCATCAATCAGAACATTCGAACAGAAATGACAATGGGAACAGTATATAATTAAAAAAAACCAGCCAAGTGCGAGTCGGACTCGCACGTGAAGGGTTCCGTACCATTATCTGTAAAAATGGCAAAACACATCATATGTGAAAATTTCAATTTTCTAACTATCATGGTTAATGAGATACAGCTTGGTGATAGACGGACAGATGGACAGACATACAGCGTCTTAGTGATAGGGTCCCGTTTTACCCTTTAGGTACTGAACCCTAAAAGGCAGGGCGAAAGAAAATAAGTAAAATTATCTCTTGCTTGTCTATATGTCTTATACCTAAATTGAGATAACAGATATGATTTTTAACACATGAGTTGCAACAAAGGTGAAAAACTCACACAGATGTGTGAACACTTTTTCACTCGTAGCATCAATTTATGAGGTTGATTTAACGCTTGACTTGCAGTTAGTGAGGCGGCTAAAGAGGCGACTTTTTTTAATTGATATGTTCTTGAATATTGGCGAAAAAATTACATAGATTTTTTTTTAAATGCTTATATCGCAAGTCCAATTCACAAAATGTTGCTAAGTGTGTTTGAAAACTAAAAGAACATATTTTTAACATTACTCTTAAAATGGAACCCTTTTCCAAAGTGACAATCGAATATTGCAAGCCAAATAAACTGACACGTTCACATTTATTCTTGTTTCTCTGATAAAACGTTATATTTACACAGACCGAAACAATGTACCATCGGTAACACGAATAGAAGATAATTGAATTTATACGAGAAAATATGATTTACCGCAAAGCATAGGGTAAACATTTTTTGCTACGTACAACACTGGCTATGAATTACGATAGACTAGCCACACCATGTGTGGCGTGTGTATGATTATTGTCATACACATATGTACTTGTGTGATACTAACATTCAAAAGAAAGTAAGTCATGAAATTAATAACCGGAAGTACTTACCCTTTTTTACCAAATGCGGGCACATTTAACCTGTCACGGAAGTTGTACCTTTTCTTATTTCCGCTTGGCTTGAATTAAGCTCCTCTGGGTGTTAATTTGTCCATTGTTTAATTATAATTAGCAGAGAACTTTGTTATTATCTTAGTAAACTAGCTGTCAGTTACCATACCCATTTATATACAGTCTTTTAACTTTGTAGAGCCAAGAGAGTTTGACTTCGCTTTGTTAAAGTAGGTGAAGCAGCTTAACTTATTGGTTTTAATAGCCGTTATTTAATAAGTTCTAATTTGGTCTAAAAAGTGTAAGATGTCCTGATTTATAATGATTACCTGAATATTTTTTTAACTATTTCTTTCATTACATATGCTTTATATACCAGTGCGATGTCATTTTAAAAATATGATTTTAATTAAATTTTGTAACGAGAAGTTTCAATTTTCTCGTATTCTGCGTTCTTTACAAGGTTGCATTTAATTTTTAATATTTCTACAGCATGGAGTATCATGGTGTTTGGGATTTGGCGATCCGATTTGCGTGGTGGATAATGGACCTATCTCATGAATCAGAGGATCATGGGGTCTATCGCCGTTGCCGGAAAGATGTTGTGTGACATATAAATAGCATCTTTCTTGTATCTAAGGGCTTATATATCTATAATGTGTATTATAGATGTATCAGTTCATGAGAAACGCACCAAGCAAGGTATCATTTAAGAAAATGCTGCGATGTCACTATGCCAATTTTGCCGATTGTTAGAGTCACCAACTTTATCCTTCGTTTTTATGTAAGTCTCTGTGTATATATTATTATACATGTATTACATATGTATAAGTATATATATTGATTATATGATTATATGTCAAGTATTTATCTTTGAGTAAAGTATATTTCTATAGAATGTACCTTTGCTTTTTTTCTTTTCTTTTATTTATTTTTCTTTAATTTATTTCGCGTATTTTGTTATGCACCTGCGTCAAATTTTCTCTACTCCCAGGGTTGATTGGAAGTGAATGCTTATTAGCATTAAGTTTGCCTTTTGTTTAACCTTAAGTTGAGATGTAAACAATAAATTTTAAATAAATAAATAATAAATATATTATGAAAGAAAAGTATAAGTGTGTTTATCAGTTATCTAGTGCCCATAGTAAAAGCTATGCTTAGTTTGGGACTAGCTGAGTCGTTGATGCTGTAATCTTATTATTAATATTTATAAAATTGATAGAACCTGTTTTCGTCCAAGCTCCAAATCAATCGAGCGTAGTCGGCTTACATCCAATGCGAAATTATTTCTAGAAACCCTTTATAAATTATTAAATTGTCACGAAGGGGATTGATGGAGGGCGCTTTATATTATTAACAGTGTTTCACAAAATTGTACAAATTGAATATGATATCAATTCGAAAAGAAATTCTCAGAAATAATTAATTTAGTCGGTTTCTTTCTAATTCTGAGGGCATTTTATGATGACATTGTTTCATTACAAGAGTCCTCTAGAACGCACTCAAAAGTTGCGAGTGTAAGAAAATATTCCTCAATTAGTCAGTCAAGAAAAAAAAGGTTTCTTTATTCATTATCCTGTTTGAAAGAAAGCTTAGGGTTCGTATTAGCTTTGTTGTTTGCAATGCATGTTGGCAACAAGTTGATCTTAAAAATGATTATGATTTCTGCTATGTCTATTTCTCGTGTGCATTTATATGCACACGAGTTACGTTTTTGGTCTTAAAGTATTTCTAGTAAAATAATAAAAGCCAATTTATGGGATTCTATCTGTTTTTGGACTGTTGAAAAAACGCCCGGCGTCGTTTGAAAGCTGACGCGAGAAAATAACAAAGCCTTATGAGATGACGTCGCATGGACTGAGGTAATAGAGATATCCCCCTGAAAGCCCCGCTTCTCGTTTCTGGTTTTTCTGGATCTGGTTTTTGATAACACCGTTGGAACACAAAAATATTTTGCGAGTGATATCATAGTATATTAACATTTAACGAGCAGGCTGTGTTATTTTTTTTAACGTTTAACGTTTCATATTTTTCGAATTTATCATAAACTTTGAGTACCACACAAATACAAATAGAAAATGAGAGAAAACTGTTTTAAATAACACGATCCGAAATAATAATATATTTCCAATAACATAATAACATCACTGATATCCAATTTCCATTGTTTTAATGGCAAGAAACATTTAAACATGTTTTTACACTAAGACTCCGCTAATATCCTTGCAATCATTTTGATTATGATAATTTCTGTTACCGCTACAACTAAAACACAGAATAAAAAATATTTAAGTGGAGCTCCCATACAACGGACATGATTTTTTTGCCGTTTATATAGATATTGTTACGGAACCCTTCGTGCCAAGTCCGACTCGCACTTGGCCGATTTTTCAAAGAGAATACGAGATATTTGTGTCCCTTGCGCCATCCCTGAGCGGCGTAGATAAGTTGAAGCCCCCCCGGCGATTTCGCCGACTGCAAAAGACTTTGACCGCCGCGTGTTTTGTCGGCGTCCGTAGCAATTTTAGCAGAACACATATTTTGTATCGCGGTTAGTGTTTACTTACCGTTTTGACGGGTCCAGACCCTGTCCTCGCTGGGAGATTGGATGAAATCTTGTTCACATTATGTACACATAAACATACACATTAGTATTTGGTATTTTGATACATTATTAGTATTTGGTGTACGTAAATTTTATACGGGAAGTTGATGGATGCAGGTGTCTTAGTATTGTGTTTCGTGGCAAGTTGGGACTCAAACAGGCTGAAACGATGTGATGGTGAAACTTTAAACATAGCCCCAAGTAATTGGCGGGCTTATGACTTAATTTTAGCTGTGGTGTGTATAGGCAATGACAACTATATGGTGATAGTAAAAAATAATTCGGTTGTTACGTATTACGCGTAGAAGATAAGATAAAAAGTTCGAGTTGTTAAATTGAAAATGAGCACGGGTGTAATAAATTTAAGCTAAATTCATATATTAGACAATATGCAAAACCTATGTACTAATTCAGGCGAATATCTTAAATAAGTCAGTTTTTGTTAATTCATAGATAGGAGTATGTATGAACTAGTCATCGTAACCATAACTACTATCGATCTTTTAAATTCGCCTTGCT